AAGGGAAGGGAAGGGAAGGGAAGGGAAGGGAAGGGAAGGGAAGGGAAGGGAAGGGAAGGGAAGGGAAGGGAAGGGAAGGGAAGGGAAGGGAAGGGAAGGGAAGGGAAGGGAATGACAGTGATTTACAAGGATGGCTTGTTACAGATGTTCACTTCTTACACATGTACCACATGCCCTTGCTTTTGCACATTTTCTTCTGAACATTATTCTTTCAGTCAAAATGGGACACGCCAAACCTTGAAGTAGAAACTATATTTAATCTGTGCTGTTTTTCTTTCTCTCTGGTCTGTTGCATAGCCTAAATACATGGCACAGAATGCAGTGGACTGGAGAATCTTGATACTTAAAAATAACTCCCATTTTCTTCTAACTGATGATTTATTTATTTTTTTGTACAGCACTAGAAAATCACTGATTTCAGTATTTAGAACAGTAATGGAGTTCTAATTTCTTAAGTACAATCAGGAGTGCAATTTGGGGAACTTTCAAGTGATTTTTTCAAGCATGCTGTTTCTCTGCCTTCTAGTAACCTGTAGTCTCAAAACAAAAACAAAAACAAAAAAGGAGGGGGATGATGTTTTGAGAAACTGAGTTGAGTGTCTTTTCTAAAACTGATACTGCTGGATTGAATGCAAGTGTCCGAAATTCCAGGATGAGGATTAAATCAGCCTCTTTGAAAAGTGGCAGGGGAGGGTTCAGCCCTCATTATCCATCTTCCTGAAGCCAGCAAGGTTGTGTATGTGTGTGAATTCAGGGGAAGAGTTGACTAAGAATTGTAAGAACATTGCATGTCTTGAAGGCAGCTGACATAGTGCATATAAATAATGCCTGAGCTCTTTTGTGGTATACAGCAGCACTGAATACACTTCCAAAAATAATGACAAAGACGTTTGTTCAAGAAACCTACCGCCTGGAGCTGAAAACACTTGTAAACTTCTTCAAGGAGTACTCCAAAGTACGTCTTAAAAGATTTTCTCTATAATGTTCTCTTTATAGAACAATAAATTGTGGTGAGACTTAAGATGAAATGCTTTTTCCTACCTACCGTTAGATTGTGCAGCATTAGTCTCTTGAAATACAGCTGGAGATTGATTGCTTGTTAAAGAACATTTGAGACAACCTACTGTAAACAGTAACTCACAAATATCAATGTGTTCTTCAGGCACTACTTCTATGTATATAAGTATGTATGTATTTATTTATTTAGAGATAGTGAAGACTGTTACTCCATTTGAAAAGGGAATGGAGGAATTACCCATGTGATGCACAAAGATCTGTACTCTTCTTCACTGCTCATAGAAGTATAGCCACTAAAGAACTGACTATTCCAAGATTCTTTCTTTGCAGTTTGTATGAACAGTTACATATAAGTAACACTGAACTACTCATCAGCCTCCACAATGTAGAGTCAAAAGACTTAACAGTAATTAATCATAGAGTCAAAGAATATCTTGGGTTGGAAGGGAACCACAAGGACCATCAAGTCCAAATCTAACATGTTTAGTAACACATTAATGAGTTAAACAAATAGAGCAGGAACCTTACTAAGAACACAGCACTGAACTTGGGTCCCCAAAAATTTAACTGCCTTACCATCTCTTCTTCAAAGAGGACTATTGAGTGAAAATCAAAAGCTTCTGCAGCACCTTATAATGAGCACCCAAAATGAAGATTTGCAATTGTTTTGGAACAGAGCCAAATATTTTTATTACCAAGAGCCAAATTTTTTATTACTGCGGAGTGGTAATTGAATGGAACAGGATCTGATCCAAATAATTTTGGTGGGTTTCAAATCTTGCCCTAAAATTGTTTGAAAATAACTAAATTCAAATGAGAGTTAATGGCAGAGCTCCGACACTACATTGAGCAATGATGTTCGCGCTTGGTGGTATCTGTATTCTTTGATCTTTCATCTCTTTAGATACCACGGTGTTCTGGGAGGTTTCAGAGTTTGTTTCTTTTTCTCCAGTAGTTCAATTACATTTCTGTTGTTTCTCTGAGCCAAAATAGGCAGCCAAACTTGCTCTCGTTACTTTCATTGGAACAATAACACAAAAGTAAAGGAATTTTTCAAAACAAAGCCCATTGTAAATCATCTATTTTTACGAGCAGGAAAATACAGGAGCAAGACAGGGTTGGCTGCCACCACACAGTTAATTCTCAGTCTTTAGGAAGCTCCCACAGCAAATACAACATCTGTCCACCAGCTACTTGTTTAGAAGACCAGTCATCTTCTTTTAGGGTATGGTTAATTAACAGAGTGAACTGATTAGAGAACTCTAAACCAACAATCAGAAACCCTGCTATCTCCTTCAGCAAGCAGATCAATGTAACCAAAAGTCTCCTTGTTGATGTCTTTCCTTGTACTGGAGACAGTGCTCTGCTCTATAAAAACTATAAAAAAGAAAAAATTCCTCTTGAATCAGAACAAAATTTTGTGAAAACTTCCAACCTAGAAGGTAAACATGGACATTTGCATCTGCCAGGTTTTTCCAAACCATTTAGATACTTGGATATATCTCCTGAACTTGCCCCGTGTTTTTGCAATTATTCTTTTCAACAGGAAATTCTGTAGTTGCATAAAGAGTCTGTAATAAGTCAGACAAGAAACATTTAGCTCAGTGTCTCTTTGTACCTTACTGTTTTTTCTTTTTTTATCATTATGCTATTTATCAGAACTTTAAGCAGAGAAAGACATGAGGGAATGATTTTGGAAGTGCATTCATAAAACTTAATATCAGGAAACTAAACTCCAGAAACTAATCTACCTATATTTATTTCTTCTAAAGAGAGAGAAATGGAGAGAAGGAGGAGAGAGGCTTTCAGAACACAGATTGGAGTTGAAATTCAGAAGTTTTGACTTACCAGCTGGAATATTTTAATATGGTTCTCATTAGAGGAATTTGGTGAGATTTACTTAGGTCTCTGAATCCCAAGTTACACATGAATTTAAATCCCAAATAAAGCAAAGAAGGAAGACAGAACCTTTCTTTCTGCATCTTCGCAAGTTTTGCTTAAGTTGGGCAATTCAGACCCAATATTACTTATGAGCAAAAGAATCATACAAGCACTTATGAATGCTGTTACGTTCCAGATCCTGAGACATTACTCAGCACTGATGAGAAAACTGTGCATATCCTGCATAGGATTAATTGCAGGAAGAATTAGTCATGCTGGCTGACAGGGTTAACAGAAATTCATCCCTTCTCTTTCAGCGAGCTACTGAATTACTTTGCTTTTACAAGTCTAAATTATTCATGGAAGAACTTAATGAAAATGAATTTCAGCCTCTTGGTTATGAAATGTCCATTGTGGCAGTGCCACAAATCACAATTTGTGATTAATTGCTAGAATATCTTTTGTTTTTTCTTATTTCAAAATGCCCACTGCAGACACTTCCATCAGAAGAACCATGCTAAATACAATGTATTTTCAGTTATCACTGGGGGTGGGAAGAAATCTTGATTTTCATTGGGAGGATACAGTACAAATATGTGTACACCAAACTGTGGCTGGGATTCAGGTGGAAGTGCAGCAGCAGTGCTTTAAGCTATTAAGCAGACCTTAGCTGAGACATGTTGACAACGTGAATCACAGTGGACTGAGAAGTGATAAGTATTTATAAATAAATGCAAAAACAATGAAGCCTGAGTTTTCTTAACAAAGCAGATAGCACAAAAGTACTCAGCTGTAATTAAGTACCATTCTGAAACTCTGAGTTTTAAAAAATGATTTCTAAAAAGTAAATAATCTTTGATTTCAGACCAGTGGGCTGCTGTCACTGCTAACTCATTCTCCAAATTCAGGCTGCTACAAAAGCTCACTTTAATCCATGCAATCTGACTTGTTCGTTTCAAAATGAGTATTCATATGATTGAGAAGTATTTCTAGATTTGTGAATTGAATTTAAAAGCATATTAGGCAACATATTTCAGCCTATATATTCCTTGATACAGTAGAATTTAATAAATTCAGGCTGACATTTTCTTATCAGAGGCAACCTGACAGAAGGTAAAAATCTTGATCTTTATACCGAAACCTTGAGCAGCGCATACACTTAACCCAGCTGAAACCTTAAGCATCTCTAGCTTCCTCTTACTTAGGACACTTTGGTAAATCAGTGAAACCACTGACACTTACTGATATAAATATTTTGTTTATAGCTCCTCCTTTTCTGGGGCTTCAAATTTTTTGTAGTGACACTGAAAGGCATAAAGACTGAAAAGTATCCGGGAGAGATGAAGAATTTACAGATCTTCTAGCAAGAATGAACTGCTAAATGCTTTTTAGTTTCTTTTGAGTCTTAGTTTCCTTTCAGCAGATGGCACTGTGAGAGCATTTGAACTGAATCCTCCAATATATTTCTCTTTATATTATAGACATAAATTAGTCATTAATATTGGCATTTGGCATTTCAAGATAAGTGTCTATCTTTTAAAGTGATCTTTGAAATTACTGGGATGGAAGTTATTAAATGAAAAATCCAGTAGTACATACATCACTGGTTTGGGATACCTCATTTTTGATAACTTCAAATATGTCTAGTAACGTCAGGATTATTTTAAATTAAACTAAAATGAAATCCAGTCTTCTTTTTTTTTTTTTTTTTTTTTTTTTTTTTTTTTTTTTTGTTAACATGTATCTGTAACATTTTTTATTTTAGAATCATTTTTTCTTATGCTTAAATTTATGTCATGCATTTAAAGAGAAGAGAGAATACCAGACTGGGGATTACATTTTCTCTCAGCTCTTATGCAAAAGTGAGAACAGACTTGAGCCAGTCTATCCATCATTCTCTATTAAGTATTTCTTGGAAGCTTGTTGCAATACTGTTTAAAGCCTTTATGCTTTCACAAAGACGGATGTTTGGCTTTGGATCAATATTTGGCTTTGATCTCAATCTTTCAAGTATTAATTTAAAGCTGAATCCTCCAAATACCAGTTTAATACCAACTCAACCACTTCTTCCTAGCTTTTCTGATTCATTCTTCACCCCTCTCATTTCTTTCTCAGCCACCACTTATCCAGTTGGTTTCCCTTACACAAGGGGCTTCATCTGCAGCTCTTCTATTGCTAATTCTCAGAAAGCCCTGAATTTCCAAATCCATCAGCTCTTCCTTTGCTTTTTGCTCTTAACAAGTTTCTCATCAGATATAGCAACAGGATTGTTGCCTGTTGTAGGGAACAAAGGTTCTCTCTGGATGCTAAATAAAAAGCAGATATGTTAGAATTAAAAGTAAAGTGAAAGAACAGTCTTTTAGAACATGGAACAACTGACTGTGTTGTTTGAAAGAAATACCCCCTCTGACAAAAACTAAGATGATGCACGGTCTTTCTGAATCTTTAGATGTTGTAGTTGTTCAACTTATTGGTATGGAGTGAGTTAATGAATTGCATGTTCTAGAAGTCAGGTAATTTTTGACAAATTGAAATTTGAAAAGATTTGTTTTTCCAGCAAAAAAGAAGATTACTATTTTTTAATGTACAGTAATTATTTTTTCCTGTCCTCAAGAATACTCTTGACCTTTCAAAGCTCTTCTTCTCTCTCTTATTCTCCATATTCCCACTTCTTTCCTGGAAAAAAAAGGAAAAAAAAAACAAATTGAAGCACCAGCATCAGTGGAGTCACAACTTGTACATCATGTTAGAAACAACAACTAAGAGAGCAGGCTATATGAGTTAAATTTTCTCAATATCCTCACTAATAATGGTGACAACGCTAGCACTAACAGATAAAATAGGTAGGAACACTCAAAATGGAAAAAATAATGAGGAGAAAGAGCAACTGTCGAAGACCTGCATGTACCTTCAACAACTCCCTCAAGGAATATATGCATTAATACTTTCTTATGAAATGTTTTGCTTTTCATTTAATAGACCTACTCTCAATGGCTCTGGTTCATGCTATGTAAATGCCTGTTGATCTCCAACTAATAATTCCTGCAATTGTTGACTAATTTCAGCCAGATTTGGCCACTGTGAAGAGTAGTGTGGGGCACAGAGTTCACATTTCATGAGATAAACACAGGAGTAGATGCAAAAGAATTCAGATTGTTGATGAAAGTCTGAGCAGTTACATCAACCATTAGACATCAATGATACCAGGAAAGAGATGTTTGAATTCACACAAAAGCAGGAAAGATTTATTTGGAATTTACACTGACTTAAGTGACAAGTAAAGGTCACAAGACCTCAGGAAATTGAGCTTTGGAAGTCCCTCTGCACACAGGACTAGCTGCTTTTTAGAAGCCTTTTTCTTCTCTCTCTATTTGCCCTCTTCCTAAAGATATGCACATTCTTGCATTAAAAGCTGGAGATTTCGAACTAAAGGATTTAAAAACATAATTATTGGCAAATCCATGTTTGCAACTTTTCAAAAACAGTCTCACTTTTTTGGGCATTTCCTTTGGTACATAATTATAAACCAAAAGATTTTAGACTGAAGACCTGTGCTTGATTTAATTATCTGTATATAAAAGTGTGAAATGAGTTGTTAACAGTGGAAATGACTTGTTAGTTCCCTGATACAAATGGCTGAGAGGGTGTAACTTACCCAGATGTCAGTGCACATTCCCTTACAAAAAGGTTAAAGAATAGCTCTGCTGCAGCTCTTATGCAAAGGTCTTGGTTACAGAGGAGGGCTACAGTGGGACTATGCAGCAATGGAATCTCTAGAGACATTGTGACTGACTCATACCAGCAGTAGCTGAAAGGATTGTGCATTTCCCTTTAAATACAATAAATAAATTCCAATTAATTAATTAAGGAAAATTGATGAATTTTGTTTGAAAGAAGGAATTTCTAGGCCAGAAGAGTTCCCACCTCAGTACATCTGACCAATTTGTAAAATTTTGTCTCCTTTGCAGCATTTTGCTGACAACAGAAATTCCACCAAAACAGTTCTTTTCTTCTTTGTTACCTATTCCTGCCTCCAGAATGTCTTTTGCAGGAGCTGCCTGTTCTTCTTTATTTTCATTGTTGAATCCTTACCTGGGATCATTAACCTTTCCTCAGATATTTTAAATTACTTGTCCTGAGACTAGAAGTAATTCCCAGAGTATTACCCAAACTAATAGCTGTTACTCTGGTAGCAGTAACTTAAATCACTTTATTTTTTTACAGTGCATTGTAGACACATTAATGTCAGTTCTTACTGATCTCTTTCTTTGCAGACATTCTCACATTCAATAGAGCCTCAAGAAAAGTTAAGTACATCATCAGACTGAAAATGTTATAAGTAACTCTGGCATTTATGCGAGGAAAATTGTCCCTTTTCTGCAGTAGTTCTATTAGGATCAATTCAAATATTATCTGATTTTTCTTTTCAGCCAGTCACCTCTTCCTGTACTTGCGAAAGCAAATTGCTCTGAACTTTACAAGACAGCAACAACGGGGGAAAAAAAGAAGAAAACATGAGAAAAAATTTCTTTACTATGATGGTAACAGGGCACTGGAACAAGATGCCCAGAGAGTTGTGGAGTCTCCTTCTCTGGAGATATTCAAAACAACCCTGGCACTTTTCCTGTGCGCTACTGCAGGGAATCTGTCTTAGCAGAAGGGTTGATCAATTCTAGTTCCTATGATTCTGTGATTCAGTGAAGAGCAAACAAAAAGAATGGCCAAAACAAAACAAAACAAACAAACAAAAAAAAGAACAACAAAACCACCAACCGACCAAAAAGCACATGGCAGAGTATAAAGGATTCTGGCATTAACAGTTCTTTATCCCTTCTACCTGTGAGCAGATCTCTCATGCAGAAGCAGAGGAGTTAAATATGAACAGATACATATTACACAGTGTAGGAAAACCAACATGCAGGAGGGAAAAAAAGGAAAGAGCCTGTGATTCACCAGTGGGAAAATGCTATTTGCAGGAATCCTCACCCACTACAAGCAAGATGAAGACCGGCATGGCTGGAAGTTTGTGGAAAGGAAGTGTGACCAACGGGCACTCACTGCTTGGCCATGTCCCAAGTTGTGCTCTAACAAAGGTGAGAGAAAAGGAGGAGAAAAACCATCTCCTCTCCTGACTGTCCCAGGTGTGATCAGCCAGGGCACCAACCATGCCGCAATATAGCTGTGATTGCTGCCCTGTATTTCCAGACGTTGGACCTCTGCTGGAGGAAATGGTAGGTCTGATTACTGATAACAATGAAAAGGTACTGAACACCTTCTTTGACTCACTCTTTACCAGATTCTTCCCAGGCTTAGGCTTAGGTCTTTGAGACTGTCTCCCATAATATCTTCATCTAGAAGCTGTTGATGAAAGGACTTGATAATCAGACAAAGAAGATCAAAAGCTGGGTGAACTGCCAGGCCCAGAGAGTGATGGTCAGAGGTTCAAAATTAAACTGAAGGTCAGTAATGAGTGCTGTTCTACGGGGATCAACAATGGATTCAATCCTGTATTATACAGGATCACTACCATTGATTTCCATCAATGACCTAGACAGTAGGGTAGAGTGCACCCTCAGTACATTTTCAGATGACCCAAAATTGGGGAGAGTTGACTCTCCATGTTGCCAGAAAGACCTCAACAGGCTGGAGAGATGGGATGACAGAAGCCTCAAGAAGGTCAATGAGGAGAAATGCAAATTCTTGTACATGGGGAGGAAGAAATCTAGTATGAAATCCCAGCTATGCTTTCTTGGTCAGAAAGTAGTTTTGCAGTAAAAGACCTGGGGTCTTGGTAGGCACCAAGTTGAGCAAAAAGTCAGTAGTGTGCCCCAGTGGTAAAGGAAGCCAACAGTAACCTGGGCTGAATTAGGCAAAGCACTGTCAGCAGGTGGAAGGGGGTGATCCTTACCTCCTCCGCTCAGTGCTGGTGAGAACACAATTGGAATAATATGTACACTTCTGGGCCCCCCAGCACAAGGGACACGTGGATATAATGAAGCAGATCCAACAGACCCATATTTTTGCCACCAAAATTATCAAGGGGCTGGAACATCTCTTCTATGAGAAGAGGCTGAGAGGGTTGGAACTATTTAGTATGTTTTTTCCAGGGGCGGATCTTATCAGTGTACATGAAGGATGGAGCCAGGCTCCTGTTAGTGGTGTCCAGTGCCAGGATCAGAGGCAACTGGCACAAACTGGAGAATGGAACATTCCCTCTGAACACCAGGAGCCCTTCTGTGCTGTGCAGTGATGAAGTACTGACACAGTCTGCCCCAGACACTGTGGGACCTCCTCCTTGGGGATCTCCCAGAGCCACCTGGACATTGCCCAAAATCCTGCTGGGGAGGGGACTGGATCACATGTTCTGCAGTGGTTCCTTCCAACCTAAAATATTCTGTGATACATCTGTTTTAAACCTCTGTACAAAAGAAAAACAAAACAAAAAACAACCACAACAAAAACCCACAACTCCCTGTTTAAACCTACCTCTTTCCAAAAAGTGACAGAGCAGTCTAAAAAAAAGAATAATAACCAAGCGTCTTTGACATAATGAAGACTTTATACATGCTCTTAACTATACACACAACATTTAATCTCATTAATTTTAGTGGAAAGTGCAGTGGTGTAAAGACATAGGTAAGTCAACAGGCTTGAGCTGTGTTTAAATTTCAGGTATGTAAAAAGACTGTAAAGTTGATATTTTCTGTGAGTAACAATTTTTTTTTGAAATTCTTTTTAGAAGACCATCACAGGTTTCTTAGGGTGTTTACAGGGCAGCATATAAAACACTGATATGATTTTTATTACCAGTACATTCATAGGAAGCAGGGTGAATTATCTTTTGGGTATTTAGGTGTTGAAGACAAATTCAATCTGAATCTGAGTTAGAATATTAACTCCAGGTACATTTCAACTTTTGTGAGCTTCTGTATTTAATGTTCTTTGGAGCATTACCATCAGACAAATTTGTCAAAGCTGTGGCAGAGATAAGCTTAATAACATCTAAAATTTTGCTTTTTAAATTTAAAAGTAGGCTGTTTAGCTGGTTAGTCTTAAAAATAAATTCAGGCTCCTGTCTTCTTAGGGACAATCTCTCCCAGTTCTCTGCAAGCTTCTCACTTCTTAATAAGTAATGAGTATTCGGGCAAACAGAAACCCAGACGTTCAGTAATAGCTTGTTTCAGCAATTCTTTTTTAAAATGCTCTCTTCTCTGGCCTGTTCCCAACTGCCTGAATCTCTCCCTTTCGGGCTCCACTGTCAAATACCTCCAATTACTGCCAGAAAATTGTGGCTCACTGTTATTTTAATGAAGAAATTTTACTTTGCAGACATTGGTGTTTCTCTTGGTCTTTTCTCCTCTCCTTAGGATGGCTTAACATATCACTCTACCAGGAGAAAAAAAAATGAAACAAAGTAGATGGATACAAATTCCTATAAAGCATAAGACGTCATACAATTTATTCAGCATAATGCACATTCAAAATTGATTATACCTACCAAAAAAATAAGACTGATGGGGTTCATGTGTGGGACTGAAACCAACAGATTTAAAAACAATGTTTTTTCAATGACCTGGAATTTTAGTACAATGACTTTTAGTGTAAAATCTACCCCCGCCCCCCGCACCCCACTCCCAACAAGGAACAAGGTAGAATTTGAAGAAATTACACCTCTGGCTGCATTTTCTGGAATGTATTTATCAGACATCCATTATATTATTATTTTCTTTCTGAAATGGGTCTGGTGAATATAGGATTTTTATTTCCTGTTTGTGTGGGTTTTACATGGAAAGATTCAACATGATCTGTGATTAACATCATTAAACTGCATTGGTATCTAGGATACCAGTAAATCCTGAATATTTGAGATTGAAAGTACTCACTATCTAGAATAAAATTCCGTTAATGATTTGTGTGTGCGTACATTAGGATTCCAGCAACACTGGACTCTCATAAATTCAGTCTTTAAGTTGTGAATGCAGCATTTTACATTATGTGCTGAAAGAAGGGACCAAAAAAACATGACTACTACATGCAAAATAAACAAGAGTTCAAGCAGTTCAGAGTTGCAAGCAATTCTTATAAACTTGGGATGTCTTGAAAATGTATCTCAGCTAGGGTTAAAATGTGTGCTGCTTGATAAAGACCACTGTAAAATAACAAATACTTGATTAAGTAGCTAGTCTCAAGAGTTATACTGCAGCCAGACAAAAAACAGTTGCACTTATTGTTATACTATAGGGACTATGACTACATGGACCAACCAACAAGAGTTAAGTTAATGCAAATATAGCATGTTTTGCTTACACGCTGTAACTGCTCCTGGCTCCTAGATTCACAGCACAATCTCCATCTCACCTAGGTTACCAGAGTTAACAAAGTCAGCAAAGTTTGTTGAAGACCTGGCATTTTGTCTCCAGTTAACCTGATCTATACCTGGTAAGTCTGGGAAAGTTTACCCACCTGCAACAATGCAAATTCAAGACACAGAAGAGAGTACAACAAACCTGAAAAAGACACAGAGAGAAAAAACAGAGGGAGAACTTAAATGCCAGTGCTCAGAAAATATCATAAAAATATCTCTTAAATACGTATATTAGCAGAATGTTAAGGGAGCCTGTGCTCTCCTTCAGCGTCCTGTGAGGCCATATGTCTGCTCAGAATGGCTCCATCTGCATGCCTCAGTAGTAGCTCATTTTCAAACTAAATCCTCCTTCTTTTTGTAATATCTTAACCTACCGGATGATTTTCAAAGTCTTCACATGCCATAGCAGGATCACGATCTCTAGTGCAAATAGCAGCAGATTCAGTTTTCATTTAAAACTGGAGGACACAGAACTCATCATTTCTCTCACAGCTCTGACCTGATCAGTGGGAGATCTGAATTGCAATCATAACTTAGGTCCAGAAATTCAGAGTTCATAGCACTTGGAATTTCAAAATCATTTAGGTTTAACCCAGCATGTAGCTAAGCACCACGTAGCCATTCATTTGCACACCCCCACCTCAAGTGGGCTGAGGGAGGGAGCTGGAAACAAACATATCTCATGGGCTGAAATAAAAACTATTCTCTGAGACAGAAAATGAAATAGGAAAGAAAATGCAATGGTAACTATATATATATATGTATCTCCACAATGCAATTACTCACCACTTGTTGACCAGTGCCCATCTAACAGTACAAGTGCTCACTAACTGATGCCTTGCTGGCAGTGCCATGTCTCATCACCTGCCCATCACTTAGAAACAATCAAAACATCAGGGTGCTATTAACACTGTCTCAGCTGAAACTAGGACAATAATAAATGAAAAGCAGTTAAAATTGAATCACAATGCATTGAGCACTCACCTGGGAGAGGAAAGCCCTGGGGTTTGTTTTTCTGATCACATTATACAGTGTAAATTATAGCACAAACGTATTATTAAAAAACAGAGTATGAACAGTAGGTTCCACACTAACAACTTTGTCCATGTGCCTGGACTAAGATGAATAATAAGCTCAAATACATGAACAAAACAAAACAAACAAAAACTAACCAACCAAACAACAAAAACAGCAACCTCCCTCCAAAAAAAAAAAGAAGTCAAGAAAAACAAACACAAACTGCAAGAGAGAGGCAAGCAAAAATACCAGTAGGCCTTCATGGATGAACAAAGATATCCTGCACAAGCTCAAACACAAAAAGCAAGGGTGGAAGCAAGGACAGGTAGCCAGAGAGGAATCCAGAGAAATTGTTGGAGCAGCCAGGGATCAGGTTAGGAAAGCTGAAGGCCTGATAGAATTAAGTCCAGCCAGGAATATCAAGGGCAATAAGAAAGGCTTCTGTAAGTATTTCAGTGATGAAAGGAAGACTAGAGAAAGTGTGAGCACTCTTAAGTAGGCAATGGCAGACCTGGTTAACCCAGTTACCAGGGATCTGGAGAAAGCTGAGGTATTCAATGGCTTTTTTGCCTCAGTCTTCACTGGCAAGTGCTCTTGCCACACCACTCAAGTCTCAGAAGGCAAAGGTAGGAAATGGGAGAAGGCAGAACCACCCACTGTAGGAGAAAATCAGGTTTGAGCCCATCTAAGGAACCTAAAGGTACACAGCTCCATGGGATCTGGTGAGATGAGATGTGCAGCTCCCAAGGGAACTGGCAGATGAAGTTGCTAAACCACTATCCATCACATTTGAAAAGTTGTTACAGTCCAGTGAAGTTCTGACTGATTGGAAAGGGAGAAAAATAAGTTCCATTTTTAAAATGGAATTAGGAAAGGACTGGATAACTACAGGCCCGTCAGTTTCACCTCTGTGCCCAGCAAGATCATGGAGCAGACTCTCCTGGAAACTGTGCACATGAAAAACAGAGGTGATTGGTTAACAACCAACTTGGTTTCACTAAGGGCAAATTGAGCCTGGCTAACTAAGAAGCCTTCAATGACAAAGTTATAGCATTAGTGGATAAGGAAAAAGCAACTACCTGGACTTGTGCAAAGCATTTGACACTCCCACACAGCATCCTTGTCTCTAAATCACAGAAACATGAATTTGACAGGTGGACCACTCAGTGGATAAGGAATTGTCTGGATGGTTGCACTCTAAGTGTTGTAGTCAATGTCTTGATGTCTGGGTAGAGACCAGTGGAAAGTAACGTTTCTCAGTCAGTGTTCAGACCAGTGCTGTTTAAAATATTTGTTGGTGATATGGACAGTGGGACTGAGTTCATTCTTAGTTTGCAGATGACACCCAGCGGGGTGGTACAGTTGACACACTGAAGGGAAGAAATACCACCCAGATGGACCTTGACAAGCTTGAGAGGTGGGCCTGTGTGAATCTGATGAAATTCAGTGAAGCCACATGCAAGGTCCTGCACATGCGTTGGGGCAATCCTGAGCACCAATACAGGCTGGGCAAAGAATGGGGGTTGCTCTGTGAAGACAGAAATACTTTCCCTAGAGAACTGTCCACTTATCAGGACAACATAGAGGAAATGATTCAGACCACGTGGTTAAAAAAGAAAGGCAGTCTTTTTTCTCTCTTTGTCTCTTAATAAAACCGTGTCCTAAGATGACATAAAATTACTGCATGTCATCATATGAAAACAGAGCCTTCATACTAAGTAGAGTCTATTGTCTTAGCAGCTGAAACTGCAGAACAAAAAACCCAACCCCCACATCAAAAGAACAAGATTAGAATCACAAAGCTTAGCATTCAAAAGCATGGAAGTAACAAAATGAAGACTGCCAGAATTTTCTTTTTAACAATTTTATCTGTGAGTACATGACTGTCTATTATCAAAAGGTCACCACTATACAAGAGTGAATAGTTACTACTCAAATTAGTGAGTACTTATGCTTATTTTCTTCTTAATGTTGTACAAATAGATTCATGTCATAATACAGTACTTTTGGGAAACTTCAGAGTAGTAAGGAGTGATGAAAATCTCCGTTTTATAACTTCAGAACCAAGGTATTAACAAAATTAGAAAATTCTTTTTTTTTCACAGTTTTCAACTGGCAAATTGGAAACAATTGGAAGCTCATTTTTCAGAGCAAAATAGGCTTGTGCAACCCATCTCATATGCAAAAGGACTTCATTTGCAGTTGCCATTGCCTTTATCTGAAAATCAGACCTTGGTGTATCACCTTAAACATACAAAAAATGAGAAACATGTAATTTGTAGCTTTACATAAAACATTTAAATGATATGACTTGCTCAGAAACTCTCACGCACATTTTATGAAAGCCAAGTATAGTAACACACATCATGGGTAGCAACAGAAAGGTTTGTTTAGTGCGAGAAATAATAAGGCTAAAGGATGGATCCTTTGGAAATATTATTACTGAAACCACTGCCTCTTGCTTATTTTCAAAAATGAAAAAAGCATGTCTTAGTATAAAAATTGACTAGAATGTCAAATATGCCATTGCTGCAGACATTGTAGTGACTGGAGGAATTCTCCACAAGATGGTTTTGGCATTTGATACTGTCCAAAATACATTTTCTCCCAGTTTTATTCCTCAACATTATGGAAAGATTTTAGTTGAAATACATAGGCAGCTAGAGTCAAATAGTCATTATGGAAGAAAAAAATTCTTAACAAATGTTATATATCAAAGTTTTCTTGTAACATTTTCATTTTATGCACATATTGCTCACCATACACAGAGGATGCTACATCAAAAAGAGAACACTGGGAACAAATTTAATTTTTGTTATGGTGGGAAAGCCTTTTTCTATTACATCTCTAAGTACTAAAAGTGATTATTAAAATAATGTGAATTGTTTGTTTTAGATTAGCAAATGATTGTGTTGCATTTAATTATCTCTCCTCTATATGGAAAAGTAGAATTCTATGTGACTAAGCATACATCAGAG